GTGTGCCCAAGGAAAAGGCAACATTGGGAGTACCCTTTCATGCCAGGACATTTGAGTTAAAAGACCCGGCTCAACATGGTATAGGGGCTCCGATTATTAAAAACGGGAAGTTGGATTATGACGCGTATAGGCACGTGTGCACCTTGGTCAAAAATGAAAACTGGCCTAAAGTGAGGTCTGACCAGAATCGTGACCCCTATACCTATAAGGATACCGAGTGGATAGGCTATGATGATCCGTACGCCGCTAATGAGTAAGTACAATTTGTGTTAATGAAATATTATTTGTACATTGGTCAATAGTTATAAAAATTGTAACATTATAAATAAAACAATAGGTCATGCGAGAATAAAATTATAATTTCATGATAGGTTATACAGTTGTTAGTACTAATCATAAAAATATTTAGCACATGAATATAAATATTATTTTTTAAAAACTGTATTTTTATATAAGTAAATACTATTATTTATAATAAACTTTTATACTACACTCTTGGACAATTCAGTTAGTGATATAATATAATACTTTAAATGATATAGTATATACATGTATTACATATTATGTACCATTATTTCATTTAAAATTAATATACAATTTTGTATCAATAGAAAAAGCAAATGGGTCAGAGACAATGGCTATGGGGGTATAATTATCTGGGAGGTGGGCCTGGATGATCAAAAACAATCGTGCTGTACAGTAGCCAACCCAATGCTCCGGGCTATCAATAACGGCTTGTATGGCACCGGTAGTGGGCCCGAGACCTATGGATGCGAACCGAAATAAATTATTTAAATAACTTTGTATTAATATTGGAAATAAACTTTTCGATATACTTATTAAAAATCCACTTGATATTTTGAATTATATATTTTTCTATGTTGATCAAATGAATGTGTGTTAAATCCATTATAATATGGTGGTTAAACCTTAGATTAAATTAAATTAGGTTACAGTTTATGTAATTTAAATACCCTAGTAATAATAAATTTCGTTCAAAAAGAGGTTAAAGGATTTATAAATTTATAAGTTATATGGATTTAAAAACTAATATTATGTTTAATTAACTTAATAGTATCATTAATTTTATAACATATTTTGTTTAAATGATAATAAATAACATTGGCAATTTCTTATAAAAGTATATTACCTTTTTCATTTTATAACTTATGTCTCACTAATCTTTAGAAATAATATTATTATCATCGCTATTATCTGAAAAAATTATAATTAAAATTAGAAATCATATTTTAATATCATTAACACTCACTTCATATCCACGGAATCGGTTTATGATAAATAGTTTCCAACAATAAAAACCAATACTTTTGGTGCCAATCTTTTCGATAAGGATTAATAACTGAAAAAATATTAACATTAAATTATTTTTTATTTTAATGAGAGAGGGAGAGAGAGAGAGAGAGAGAGAGAGAGAG